GAAACACCAAACTGGGTCAGAATCGGGTTGGGGTTAGGTGTTTCCACCGCAAAAACGCTCACCCCAACCCGATTCTGACCCGACTCTAGCCCGACTCTGACCCTCGGTGGAAACGTAGTCAAAGACTCTCACCTCCAACGCTCCTCCTGCTAGGGTCGTTAGGTTGTACATGACTCGTGGTTTATTATTATCAGGGTGGCTGGAAGATTCTATCGTGATCTCGCGTCAAACGAAAGGAGGCCTCTCGTAGGAAGGTCTTGATCAACTTGACCTAGACGATTTTGGTATCTCCTGTTGCATATCACCTCCCGCCGAACAATTGATATCGGCAGATAGGTGTTTCATTTACTTAATACCGTTTCCGGAAACTGTTTTGCGCGCCCTTACGCCCACTTTTAACTATTGGAACTATTTCATTGGCTGCGTTCAGCTGGCACAATTGTTGAGTGAGCGCTCAATGATTTCTTAATATGATTGGCTGGGTCTAAAAGTATTAACCAATCAGGGTGCTTTCACATGGAGCGTAAATTGCGTAGCGTAACCTGCGTATCACCAATCACAGGATCATGCTGATAGAACCGTTTCAATAATTCCGTTGAACTAGTCCTGTGATTGGCGATACGCAGGTTACGCTACGCAACTTAAGCCTATCACACAATAGGAAAGCACAGGCAATAGGAACAGGGAATAGAATTTCTGACGCGTTGGATTGGTTGGAAAAAAATTTCCGACGAATCCAACGCGTCAAAAATTCTATTCTCTATTCCTATTGCCTGTTGCCAGGCATTGTGTGATAGGCTTTACGCTCCATGTGAAAGCACCCCATACTGAACGCTCACTCAACAGTTGTGTCTACTGAACGCGGCCATTGAACAAAATTTCAACGCGATGCTTATGAAATTTCAGATTTGACCAATCATAGCACAAGGTCATTTTAATCTGGATCGGACTTGGTCAAAGTTCTAGTTTCGAGAAATGTGTAGCCAATCAACTTGCAGCTTTTCCGTAAGAGATGCAAATTGATTGGCTACACATTTTTCAAAACTAGAACTTTGACACAGCTCTTGGATCGTGGACACAAGGCTTGAGGAGTCGGAGCGTTTGCTTACTGCGCATGCGCGAATTTAATCCCACGCAGCAACGTCAACTGTCTTTGCTCTCTGCGGTCACGCTATAACCTCAAATCTTGCCCGGGTACAGCAACAATGGTTGGATGCGCGGCACCCTTTTGCAATAATTCTTCGGTAAAAGGATACACAATGAAAATATTCCCGAGGGATGTAAAACGTCGAGCTCAGTGGGCAGCAAATATGAATCGAGTAAATTGGACGCCAACAAATAATTCTTACCTATGCGAGGTAAAATATTTATTTATTTATTTAAATATATAGAGGGAAGCTCTCTGTTATGAGATACGTTCCTAATATGAGACAGTGGAGTTTCTGCCAAATTAATAGGTATCGTCTGTTGGTTCCACCACGAATTTATTGCCCTCGGAGTGAACTCTGTTTAGTGGAAAATTGATCGTTATATCGTGTGATCGTTTAAAAAAAAATTATGATTGACTTTGGAAATCTACTAACTCATATTAGTATGCTTGCTAACATTACATCATTAGTAACTTATGCATTTATGTCTGTTCTTTCATTTCTTAATTACACTTTTTAATTGTACAGATTATATATGAAACTAAAATATAGCTGTGCAATATTTTCTATTTTAACTTTGTTCTTTAAACTTCACACTATCGTGTTCTTAAAATAGAAAGATCGTGGCATTATTTTATTTACCATTTCTATAGGTTCATTTTGCTCCTGAAATGTGGGAGCGGAGAATGGACAATAAAAGAAAATTGAAGCCGTACGCTGTACCAACGATTTTTGGCTTCTTTATAAAAGAGAAAGTAAAATTTCCAGAAGCTACAGAAAAAGGAAATCTACCCGAAAGTGACCTGGTTTACGATGTTCAAAATCAAGATGAAAGTGAAAAGGTAAATGTGGAACAGAACTAATAAAAAATGAAATATATTTCAATGTTTATTAATGTACATACATATTATTTTTAGATGACTAAAATTGTAATTGTTACGTCTAATGCATCAACTATTGGTACATGTGACAATGAAGTTTATGAAGAGACAGATCTAAAAGCTACAGGAAAAAATAAAAGTCTATCTAAAAATCATGATTTGCAACATCTAGATGATAACGAAAAGGTAAATGTCTGGTAATAAAAGTAATAAGAAATGAAATATATTTAAAAACCTTGTTTAATGTACGTATTATTTTTAGATGGCTACAAATCTAGTTGTCACATCTAATACATCAATTATTAATACATGTGACAATAAAGTTCGAAAAGATCCAAAAGCTACAGAAAGAGATAAAAATCTGTTTGAACGAGATACAGTTCACGATTTACAAGACCTGGATGGTAATAAAGAGGTAAATGTCGGGTAATTAAAGTAATAAAAAATGAAATATATTTATTACTGTACACATTATTTTTAGATGGCTACAAATGTGATTATCAAACCTAGTATATCGATCATTAATGCGAATAAAAATAAAGTTTATAGAGAGAGAGAAACTAAAGGGGAAAAATATTGTAAAATTAATCAAGGGAAACAACACAATTTAATTTATTTACGTAAACAAAATAAGGCTTTGAGAAATCAAATTCAAAAATTGAAAAATATAATTATTAATAATAAGTATAGACTAGCTTTAAAGAAAATATTAACTGATGATCAAATTAAGGCCTTATTTACAAAAACGAGAAGAATAAGAAACTGGTCAAATAAAACTATTCAACGTGCACTTCAATTGAAGTTTACTTGTGGCAGCAGCGGTTATAACGAACTTCGACGAGAAGGAATACCACTTCCAGGTCTACGTACTTTAAGACGAAAAATAGAAAATCTTAAGTTTGGAAGTGAAATTTCAAGTAAGTTAGAATTTGTACAACTAAAAGCATCTTATTTCCAAAATTTTGACAAAGAGTGTTAGTTTTGGTTCAAATGAGTATAACACCAAAAAATATTTAGGGTAGAAGACCATATTACGCTAGCATATTAAGCAGGCGTTCAATTTTATTTTATTAAATATCTAATATGATTGATGATATTTTATTGTCTCAGTGTTTTCAGTTTTTTAGTATAAAATTTAAGAAAATTACAAAATTAATATAAAATTGATTTTTTCTCAATTAATATAATAATGAACATATGTTATAATGCACTCAATACTGGTAATCTCTAAATTATATAGTTTCTATTACTGTTTAAAAATATTATATTTCAGGTAATAACCGAAACTGAAAAGATTGGTTTGCATATTAATTATGTAACCTTTGACATATGTCCTGGGAATATAAGAGTATGGATCTATAATTTTGCGGCACAAATGTGGGACGACATTCTGGACTCAAAAACTACATAACATCCATCTGATCCTGACAGATGCTTATACCCACACGGCATGTTAGAGTGTAAAAAGTTTTAAATGTACAGAAATATTTAGTTAATGTTTCCATTGTAACTTCGTATCTAAAATATAATATTTCCCAAATATCCCAACAGTCAATTTTTATATTAAAGAATCGTCTCAAATATTAGCAGCCGCATAACCATACGGATCATTTTTGACTAAATTCTGAACTGAACATGTATAAAGCTCGCT